AACCAGATGAGATCTTCAATTGCTATCCTATTGAAGCTCTGTTCTTCATTTATCTCTGGAAGATATTAGGGATCAACAGGGCTGCAAGAAAGCTGTTCTTATTTTAAACCTGGTTCTTGTACCTATCTAATAAATGCAATGTAAGTACTTTTTGATGGCTTGACTTTGTAGATGTACACTCAAATTACGTTTGTATATGTATGTGTATTTGTGTGTGTGCATGCATGTGCATGCACATGCATGTGTCTACATATATACCCACCCAGATATATACATATACATATATATATAAGTATATACTTCCAATAAGACCTTCCTTCAGGAAGGAAAGGAATGGTGGTCCTCAACTTATGACCACAATTGAGCTCAAAATTTATCTTGCTAAGCAAGTTGTTAAGTGAGTTTTGCCCCATTTTACGACCTTTCTCACCATAGTTGTTTAGAGAATCACTGTACTTGTTAAATTAGTCAAACTGTTGTTAAGTGAATCTGGCTTCCCCATTGACTTTTCTTGTCAGAAGGTCGCAAAAGGTGAACATAGGACCCCGGGACATGTCAACCATCGTAAATATGAGCCAATTGCCAAGCATCTGAAATTTGATCACATGGCCAGGGGGATGCTATAACGGTCGTATAACTGTAAAAACCAGTGCTTTTTTTCTAAAAAAAAAAAAAGGTGACGGAACCCACACATGTCATACAACCCGCCTTGCCTACCCTACAAGGTTCCATCCAAAAAAGGTGCCGGAACTCTGTTCTGGGTGTTCTATGAGAAAAAAAGCCCTGGTGAAAACTAATCATAAATCACTTTTTTCAGTGCCATTGTAACTTTGAACAGTCACTAAACAAACTGTTGTAAATCAAGGACTTCCTATATTGTCTTGCTAAACCAGAAACTGGGAATCATCCAATGGGAGGACATCGTAATCAAGTCAGCATGAACAAAGGACGGGAGCAGCTTTAGAATGCAATGTGGAATTGCCCTCTAAATATTTCCAAAATGAGCAACACTGTCTGCTGTGAACGTAGAATCCCTCTTTTGAATACAGAATTGAGTGCTTTGTATTTGTAATGGTTCATTTTTTTAAAAAAAAATCACAGAGGAAAACATCCTCGTTAAGTCTTAAAACAGGCATTTTGTAGAATTGGGTTTTATATCTAATAACTGTGAAAATTTGGTATTAAGACGTGGTAACATGCATGCATAAAATATTTTTTAAGCTGCAGGGTAATATATTAAAGAGTTTGAACGTAACTAAAGTAAAAGTAGCAATTAAACTAAAATAGAAAATAAAGGTAGTCCTCAACTTACAACCATTTGTTTAGTGACCATTCAAAGTTTCAACAGTACTGAAGAAGGTAACATCATCAGTGCTAGTATGGAGTGGGGGAGAGGAAACCCCACTCCTTACTAGCACTGATGATGTTACCTAGTTTGGGTGATAAATGTCTGCAGAGAGCCCCAAGGAACCCTCAAATGAAAGGTGTTTGGGATTAGGGTGTCAGGCAAAAACAGCTAAAAAGAGGATAAAATAAGACTGGAATTGGCCAAGTGACACAAAAATAATTTGCTCATCCAGCAACTGATTCTCACTTGTTTCTTGCAAATTAGCCAAACTGCAATTAAAGCAAACCAGTGCTAAGCATGATGTGTGCAACAGGTTTATGATGGGATAGTCTTTTAGTGAAGGCTGAACTCAGTGTTTATAATCCAGTTGTGAACTGTTATAGAGTTACGGTTCACCAGTGTGATGTCAAGGAGTACTTATGTCTTCCCGGACATCTCTTTTTGCACCCTGCACATTACCCATTTTACTGGGCTTACAGCATTTAAAACATGAAATAAGTATAACATTCAATAAATATTTAATGTTACCTTAGTATTTAAAAAAAATCTAAAATGTTAAAAAGCAAAACGACAGTCTCCAGCACCCTCTTCACATTTCAGCAAGCCTCCAAAAGATCCCAAGCATTATTAGAAATTAAAAAATAATACCATTATTAACATTTATTGGATTGAGCCACATTGTCCTGCATGCGGTGTTACTGAATTGCCAGCTGGATGAATTTAGGATGCTCACAGATATGGACATTCTTTCACCAGAGCAGCTGGTATTTAAGGCATATGTGTTTGTGTGTGTGTGTGTGTGTGTGTGTGTTAGATCTTTATGGCTATACCTTAGCTGAGTTTTGCAAAATTATTTCTTGAGTTTCTGCTGAGTGGACAGTGACCTCTTTGGTGTGGACTGTCAGTGTCTAGAAAATTTCCTTCACTTAGGTCTTCTTGGTAGGAAGATTTGTCTTTTCTTCTGACAGAGGAAAGCTGAAAAGAAATCATATGTCAAACGAGAACTGAGTGAGCACTACCAAATGACTTGTTGATCATGGTTTTGATGAGTGGTCAAGAAAAATACCTTATCTGTTTGCATCGCATACACAGAATATGTTTGTTTTTGTTGGAATTATAGTACGGATTTAAAGACAAGTTATTAAGAATACCACGGACTGAAAGAAGAATCAGTCCTTGGCCCATAAAGCCTAAATCAGGGGCGTCCAACCTTGGCAACTTTAAGACTTGTGGACTTCAACTCCCAGAATTCCCCAGCCAGCCATTCTGGGAGTTGAAATCCACAAGTCTTAAAGCTGCCAAGGTTGGACGCCCCTGATTTAAATGGTCCCTTGAGATTTTCATCAACAAACAAAAACAAATGTACTTTGTGCGAATGATACAAGCAGATGACAATTTTTTTGCAAAATGACAGATTAACAAAAATAACTTATATAAACAAATTTATTGGCCTATTGAATAAGGGGGGGGGCCTTCGCCAGGCAGAGCCTGCTCCCTTTAGCTATCACACCAATAAAAGTACACCAATATTAGTACAAACTAATATTCTTTCATAACACTGCAGGCTTTCAGAACTGGAAAGTGATTTACCTTGTTAGAACTGAGTGCTTCATTTTCAAGAATAGGCACCATTGGATGAGTGGTCTGCAAAGAATGGAAATGTCAAGAACATTAAAAGGCAATCGAAGTAGCCAAGATGACATAATAATGGCATAACATTAAAAAAAAAGCACTTGGCAAATTGAAAACTAAAGGCCAGTACAATCTGCTCCTAATATCCTCATTATGAATGGCTATTTGAGGACTTATTGATGATGTTATCAGGAAAATGCCAGATGGTGTATTTATGTAGACAGCAAGCTAGAGTTCTTGGAACTGTGTCTCCTTATGTGCAGAAAGAAACAATTTTGCCCCTGCTTCCATATCAAGGTCTTTGCCAGCAATAGCTAACATTGATTGGAAAAGAGACATTATTCTTCCTTTCATTGTGAAAGCATCTAAACAAGAAAAGGTAAAGGTTCCCGCTGTCCAGTCGTGTCCATCTCTGGGGGGGGTGGCGGTGTTCATTTCCATTTCCTAGCCATGGGAGCCAACGTTGTCCAAAGATGCTTCCGTGGTCATGTGGCTGGCATGACTATACACAAGGTGCATGGGATGTTGTTACCTTCCTACCAAGGTGGTACCTATTTATCTACTCACATTTGCATGCTTTTGAACTGCTAAGTTGGCAGGAGCTGGGGCAAGAACAGAAGCTGACCCCATCATGCAGTGTTTCGGTCTCGAACTACCAACCTTCCGGTTGACAAGCCCAACATTTTAACCGCTAGAATACCATGCGTGCCTTATATCTAAACAAGAAGCTTTCCCCTGAAAGACAACAGAAGCTGAGTAGAAACAACCTGCACTTTAGGATCCTGAAGACCCTCCTATGCATGATATTGATATCGATGTCACCCTTCTTGGATAGCCCAACCAATTTTATTTTTGCTCATTTGAAAGCTATATTCAAATTGTAATAGTTCTGTTTGTGATTTGTCAGTCTGAAAGTTTGTGAGGTTTAGATGTGAGAGGCTGTTTTCCAATCTATCAGCACTTCATCCCACCTCAGCTGCTTGAGTTTTGGAATTTTATAATAGATTTCACAGGGGGCCTAGCCAACAAATCAGATCTTAACCTTAAACCTTCTAAGTCTCTTTTACATTCCCTGTTTGTTTGTTTTTTAAATGATTTCTCCTGCTTATATAACTAATGTTTATCAATGTCTTGCCTCATCAATTTTCCCAGCCTTTTTGACTCATGTGAACTATTATTTTCTCACCCATGAATATGCACATATTGTAGATCAGGCTGCAATCTACATGCCTACTGTATTTCCCTGAAAATAAGACTAGGTCTTATATTAATTTTTGCTCCAAAAGACGCATTAGAGCTTATTTTCTGGTTAGGACTAATTTTCAGGGAAATGTGGTACTAAATGCATCTGTCTGGCTGACGATCTTAACTGGGGCTTATTTTGGGGGTGGGGCTTATATTACAAGCATCCTGAAAAATCATGCTTGGGCTTATTTTCTGGTTGGGTCTTATTCTGGAGAAACATGGTAGTTGCTGTTGTTAGGGAGAAAAATCTGGCTATAAAGAACAGAGTCTTGCTCCTTGGTTTTTGGAAGTGATAAAAGACAATAGAGACTTCTAGAGCACTGTTGGAGAAAAGAACAGACTCACCAAGCATCAGTAAGAACCCATATTTTGGATTACCTCATGGGAAGAAGAGTAGCAAAATATTTTCCTACTGTTAGTGCCTCCACACATAACCAACCATCAATCCTGTTTAAAGTGATCCATTCCCTGCTGGGAAGGAGTCACAAGACTATCTACACAGGCTGTTATGAAGACTACTCTATGCATCTAATGGATAAAATTGTTCAGATTCACTGAGGTGATAAGAATCTGTGGATGTGACCAAGGCATGGATTTGTTTGGTTATGTGGGAAATGCTTGGCTCTGTGACTCTTGAGGAAGTAGACAAGACATGCTATCCAGTCACTTGCTTATTTAGTGCCTTTCCCTCCTGGTCTCCTGAGAGGTGACATTTGGTTAAATAAATAAATTTATCCTTGAGAAGAGGATGGTTTCACTTGGCTTGAAGGAGGCAATGGTGTGCCTACTTGCCCTCAAGAAACGATCATTGGATTTAATGGTTCTGGACAATTTTCATCCAGAAAATGTGAAGAATGTGGGTCCAGAGGACCTGGAAGAGATTAATTACCTGCATTCAATTGAATTTCAAATCAAGGCATAGTATGGAATTAGCATTGATCACACTTGTTTGTGACCTCTGCTGGAGCTGGGCCAAGAGTGGTGAACTCTCCTGTTTTTTCTTAATATCTCAGCAGTTTCAATATACCAGTCATGGTATTCTTCTAGACCATCTATAAAGTTTGGGAGTAGGAATGCTGGTGCTAGGATAGCTTTTCTTCCTCTATGGTCAGTTCCAAGTGGTGTTGATGGGTGTCAAGAAGTCTAGCTTGAAGCCACTGAGTAGTGAGATACTTCAGGGCTCAATGCTCTCAATTCTTCTCCTTAAATTCTAAATGAAATCCTTGGGCAAAGTCATATGTTGATATGAATCAGGTACCATCAGGATGTTAATGGTTCTCAACTAAACATCATAACCCCTGGTAAACCAAATAAGGCTACTGAAATTATATCCCAATCCTGGAAGATGTTCAGGCCTGGGAAGACTGAATTAAATTCACTATGACAAGTCTGGGATTACTTAATTCTTCTGATGTCAGTGAATTTTCAGCTTTGCTTCTAAATGGGGTGGCATGTCTCCATTCAGAATCATTATGTTATTTGAGTGTATTCTTGGACTTGTTCAGTGGACAGTGGCAACTTGGCCCCAGATTGTTGGGGGCAATAGGCTGACTCTGTAAACCATTTAGAGAGGGCTGTAAGCACTGTGAAGCAGTATATAAGTCTAAGTGCTATTGCTATTATCAGTGTAATAGTCATGGTCTGGAGATTCAGAGCCTAAAGCATTGCTGTTGGATGGGGTGGGCATTTATTATTGTCATTCCTATATTTATGTTCTTTTCATCCTCAATCTAGTCATTTGGGAGTTTGTGTTTGTATTTTATTGGGTTGTTTTAATGTTTGTATTTATTACTTTAAATGGCCAGAATTCCTTACTGATTTGACAGTATGGAAGTATGCCCACTAACCCAAAAATCTTGTGCAGAGTTTTTTTTTTCTTGATAAATTACACTGAACTAAATTTTTCACAAACATAAAAATATGACTCTTCAGGGATTAGGTCTCCAGATAGGTAAGCAAGAAATATACGAATTATACCCATGACACACACAAAAAGGCCTGGACCGTGTTATAAGTGCTGTTAGAATTGAGAAGTGGGACAAGGGAAACCAGAAATAAAAGAGACAAGAAAGGACAAAATGACTGTACAAAAATCTAGGAAGAGAATAGGAGGTCATCTTTAACAACATGTGCAAAAGAGAAATTCTGCTGAAATATGGAGTAGGAAAGTCCACTTTAAGGGCTGAGGTAATCTCCAGTTGCTTTAAAAGCAGTATTTAGATAATTTATACTACTAAATATTGCTATACTTTGCTAGCTAGGAAAAATAAAGTCTAGTGGTGATGATGATGATGATAGAAAGAGAGAGAGAATAAAATTATCCTGCTTTCTTTTAATTTAAATCCCTTTTGTTGTAAATCTATTTATTTACTTATTTATTATTATATTTGTTTATTAGATTAAAAATCCATTTACCCAGAAAGGTTGTTTGATCATGTCTATTGCTATACTGAATCGCTTTGCTCCAAAATAAAAGGAGAAAGATTCTAAAACTAATAATCCAAAAGAAATCAACCAAAGTATTTATTAAACTTACAGTATATTCCACCCATATCTCCAAAGGTGACTGTAAGCGGCTTACAGACATTCAATTAAAATGCACTATAGAACATTAAAACAATGTAGTATTTGCATTATGCTCTTCTCTGTTTCTGAACTGATGTCTTTTAGTGGGTACATGTGTGCTTGTTCCCATCATTGATTAAAAGGATGCTTAAAAGCTCCTGTGACTGAGAGAGTTTGTATCTACTAGTTATGACTGAACAAAACGCAGAAACATGATTGATTAATTCTCTATAAATCAAGCATGGTCCAAATGACAATGGCTGCACAAAAATGTATCAAAATGGCAGACACTATTTTAGGCAGGTTCCCAAAAATTGCAAAAGAGTTTCCAAATATAAAAAAAATCTTTATTGGAGAATGTGAGAAGTTTTACTCGGAGAAGAAACATTTGGAGCAACAACGTGACAGGAAAAGTGATAATAGATTCCAACTGTTAACTGGTGGAAACTGCTGGAACATTTTCTATGAGAAAAGCCAATTAAAAAGCTGATGAAGACCAAATTGAGATGCTTCTCCTGTCTGGACATGCAGGTGCCATAGAGTGCACAATTATTTCCTGTCAAAGTTCTGCATAAAGCAGAAGCATTGAATGTAAGGATTGGAGATCTTCTGCTCCAACCCCCTGCCAATGCCAGTATCCATTACTGCAAATGGATACTAGAAAATAAATGTGCAGACACAGCTAACTTCAAATGTCCACAAAGAATACTGAAGAGCATAGTAAAAAGTTACTGAGGTAGCCATGCCAAGAAATCAGCTAGCACTATCCCTGGTGTGTAATGGTATTATACATCAAACGCAAATGGACAAACCTGATGTACTGGTAAAAGTCATAACAAAATCTACTAACGAAGAGCTGAATTCTCTAGAAACATGCTGCCTGCCTAATGGACTATGCATTAACACAGGAGGAAAATGGATGGATTTCTCTCCCTTTTTTCCCTAGTCAAAATTTCACAATGACACCACATCACCAATATTCTATCTTTCTGCAGAACATCTACAGTAGTGGCCAAAATTGTGGAAACCTTTTGGGAAAATTGTATTTTTGAGGTTTGATGGCTAATAACACCACTTTTTTTTTGAGTAGTACCATAAAATTGTATATCAATGGAAAGATAATTTAATCAAGAATGTAATGCAACAAAGTTTGTTCAATTATATGTACTGTATTCTATGAAAAGTTATAGCCAAATAACCAGAAAAAGGAAGCACAACTTGCTTAGGTTGATATCAGGTAGCTTTCCTTCATCTGATTGTAGCCAATGAGCATGAATGTTTAGAGAGCCAATCAGGTGTCATCTTGTTTTGGCAATGAGCCAATCAGATCCGAATAGGATTCAGTTATTTTTTTTTTTTCCAATATAAAGTTTTTATTATTTTTCATCATAAAAAAAAACATCACAAATGTTACACAATGCTATATGAGAAACCCCCCACCCCCCACCCCCCCGGACTTCCCAAACCTAATCCCAGGATAATATTCAGATATAAGTAAACAAATATTAGTATCTCTAACTCCACAAAGTATATTATTCTACATGAGTAGGTAAAA